TGGAAGGCTACAGACTGTCAAAATAAAAACCCTCTTCTTTGGGGCTACAAATTAGAAATTAATTACAGCTCTTAATTGAACTGTTCAGGTCCCTCCTTTAGATGCCCACAGTGAGGGCCTTTGTTGGATGAGACCAACTGGAATCAAGTTTCTGCTGCTGGACCCTATACCACCCAGATTGCCACCATTGTTGCCTGGTTCCATCGTCATACCAGATATGGCATTACACCCACCATTGTAGCTTGGGCACAAAGTAAAGCACTTATGTTTCTGATTCAGAGGCTACTGCTTCATGCTAGACTGACTCCTGTCAAAAGTCCTGTTTGTCTAGCCTTGAGTGAGGCCACATAGCACATGCCACCCACTTGTGGCTGATTGGCTGTATCAGCCCTTTGGCTCCTTCTGGGGGCTATCTCCACTGTTGACATTTTTTCAGGTTGGTGTTTTTCTAGTTCAGTCAACTCTAGCCACACTGTTTTGGTCTTCAAACTAATCTGTTTCATGTTTTTGTTTTTGACCACCTGCAGTCTGACAGCAGTGCAACTTTAATTGCAACAGCCACTTAATGGTGAGCTGATAGTGAAGGTATTTGATGGGCCTTCCACTCTTCTATCCACAGGCATCTAGTATTGTTGTCTGTAGGAATAGCTCATTCAAAAAATATACTCAAAAGATTTCTGACTCTACCTCTCTAAATTCATCCTAATCAATACACTTTAGTAAGGCAGTTTGGTCACTAAATATGGCTATTCCCAGGAAGCAGTCACTTCCTCTTGACTGCTGTTAGGGTTTTCTGAAGAAACAGAACAAATAGCATAAGTGTGTGTGTACATAAAGAGATGTATTATAAGAAATGGGCTCATGATTATGGAGGCTGAGAAGTCCCATAATCTTGTGTGTGAGTGGGAGAACCAGGAGACCCAATTATATAGATGCAGTCTGAATCCAAAGGCCTGAGAACTAGGAGAACGGGTGGTGTAAGTTCCAGTCGAGAAGCAGAAGACTGATATTTTAACTTGCAAATAGGCAGAGAGAGTGAGCTTTCCCTTTCTCTGACTTTTGTTCTATGCTGCCCTCCAAGTTGGATGAAGCCCACCAGCATTACAGAGGGCACTCTGCTTTACCGAGAGCACCGATTCAAATAGTAATCTCATCCAGAAACACCCTCAGACACATCTAGAATACTGCTTAACTAAATATCTGGGGATGCTGTGTTCCAGTTGAGGCATAAAATTTAATTATAGTTTCTTACTGAGTAATGGTCAGAATGAGGGGTTGGGGAGTTTTGTATAGATTTATTTTGAAAATTCAGTATTCTGTTGCCATAACTGTTGCTAGGCATGATGTTTTCTTTGCTCTAACAGCATCCTCAGGCCAGCCTGGTTGCCACACCCTCCAGGTGGCACCTTAGACAAAAGGAGACCTTAAGTATTCACATTTCATTCTGGTTCAGCCACTTGGATTCTCTTGTTGGTTTGACATGGTCCTAGATATCACACTAGGAAAAAGAGTCATCCCTGGAGCCTTCATCTCAGAGGAAAATGGCTTAGTATGCCTCTCCTAAACTGTTGCAAGCTCCTTAAACTTGACCGATTGCTGGTTTTGCCACCCCGCACCAGAATGCTGAGTGCAATTTGATAGCCATTTCCTTTAACCTACTGAGAAGTCTTGGAAAATCACTTTCAGCTCCTTTATCTCTCATGCAAATCATGTCACAACTTCCAGAACCTCCCAACCCCCATTCTTGTAGCTATTACTCAGTCATCCTATGGGGTGGACAAATGCCATCTGGCTGGTGGTGTGGATATATGAAACAAGTTGGACTAATTACTTTTAGGCAATCTTTTCAAAATGAGGGCTGGTTTCAGTTATTCTGTCTGCACTGGGAGCTCTGAGGCAATGAGACTACATTAGGGACGCTGTCAACCTGTATCTCCTGAATGATATAGGTTCCATTTTGGAGTCCCCAAACATTGTAAATGGGCATCATGTGACAGGGGACCCCAAAAAATTTATTTGTGAAAAATTGTGTGTCTTAGATGTTTAAATTTCAGTCACCTTCAAAGTACTTTTAATTTGAGGCAACACACCTATAGGGATGTTGTTTTCCACTGCTTCTGATAGTTTTGAACTTTGTCAATTTTGATGGCTTTTAGTGCTTCTGCCAATTTTTTTTCACCTCTTCCACATGGGCAAAATGTTTCCCTTCGAGGATGTTTTTTATCCAGAGAAACATTAAAAAGCCACACAGAGCAAGACTGGGTGAATAGGGAGGGTGGGACATGGGAATCATGCCATTTTTTGGTTAAAAACTGCTGAACACTCAGTGCAGTGTGGGCAGGTGCACTCATAAGTCAGCCATTATAAAATGGGCAAATGCATTGAAAGCCTCCAAAAAAAAATTCACTGAAGCGAAATGCAGCCTCTCACAATGCTAGCTGGTACGCTGATGCAGATGGTTCTTAGAACACTTACTTAGTGGAGAAGCCTGTACCACAAGGGCCCCCCCCAGAAGATAATACCAGGTTTTTTGGGGGGGTTCCCCCTCATATATGTCCCAGGATACACACAGGCTATCCCTGTGGGGAAGCCAGGCATGAACTTGCCTTCCTACCTGAAAACATATCTTGCACCATAGAGAGGGTCTTAAGCAACTTTCAGGTGTTTAGGGAAGAATCACAAGAAGATTGTGTAGCCACCAGATGACTGTGGAGATGGTCCCATGGGGGATTTTCCTGGAAAGGTGACTGACTCATTTATGCACACTCTGTGGGAGCTTATCCCTATCTTAAGGGTAATTCTTAGAAATGTCGATATGGTATTTGTCCCTGACTTTAGCTGAAGCCATCAATGATACTACCTTGGCCCTGGAACACATCCAGGAGAGCTTCATTGGCCAGTATGGTTATGGGTGATAGAATACTCAACTTCCTTGTGGGCCAAGGTTGAACCTGTAATAGCAAATGCATCCTGCTGTACCTCAAGGCAGGTAGACCATGTGGCTTTCTAAGGTAAACCTTGATGGCTTATGGTGGTGTTTTTTGTTTGTTTATTTTGTGTGTGTGTATGGTTGGTGGTTTTGCCAGCTGGTTTGGCCCAGGCATTTCCTTGGGTATGATTGAGGTCATTCCTGCAGATTGGTCTCATTCTGTTTTTTGATGTTCTGTTGACAGCATCCTTAATTAAATATTGTATGAGACCATTAGAATGGATTTGATGCCCATTTTTGAAAGATTAATCAAAATTACCTAATCGGAAAATTCATGAGAAGCCATCTGTGTGAAGTTCAGTGGAGGCTAGACTAGGAGTAACTATTTTAGCATGGAGAACAGGGAGGTCCTCATACAGGAAGTGAAACGTGTTTGATTTGAGTCATGAAGTAAATCACGAGTAGGGTCAAGTGTGCCCATTTTACAGATGAGGAATATGAGGCACAGAAATTAAATAACTTGCCAAGGGCACTCAGTTAGGAAGTAGGAAGTCAGGATTGGAGCCAATATCTCTTCACTTCCAAATATGGAGGTTGCTACTAACCCTCACTGCCTCAAGTATAAAAAAGACTGAGACCATTGGTCTCAGGACAGAGGAATTGAGAGATTTTCATTAACTTTAGGTATTTTCCTAAAATTGATTTGGTGATCCACACAGTGGATGATTGTGAATTTGGAGAAGTACAGTGAAGAACCCTACGACTTTGTATAAGCTCATCTTTAAAAATGAAATATTTCAGACATAAGAATGGTTAAAAATAATAAATGAAGACCTATGAATCTACGGCCACCTTTAAAGAAATTACCAATACAATTGAAGGCCCTTGGTTATCCTTGATCATACTCTACTTCTTGCACTCTCAGAACTGCTACCCTGAATTTGGTAGTTATTATTTCTATACATTTTCTTCATACATGTGAGTCCATTTGACAACCTATGGTACTATTTTACATGTTTTAAATCTTTTTATATGGTAGGTGGTTGAGTGTCCCCAAGACCACCCCTGGGTTCAGAGATTCACTAGAAAGTGTCGCAGGACTCAGCATATAGCCCTGCTCAGTGCTAAGGTTTATGACACCAATGTAGTAAGGACACACATCGGGTCATAAAAGGAAAAGACACAGGCGAAGTATGGAGACATCCATGTGTTGGCTTCCTTATGCTCTTATTCTCATGGGGGAACACACTAAGCACACTTGCCCCCAGCAATGAAAATGCAGCATGTGTGCCATGTTTCTGCCTAGCGAACCCTTTAGAGACTCAGGACCTATAGTTTTTACTGGGAGCTGGTCATGCAGGCACCCTCTTCCTAGCATGTACCAAATTTCCAGACTCCCAGAAGGAAAACGCGTTCAGCATAAACCGTATTGTGTTCAAACAGCCTGCGCGTAAGTCTACACTTATGAATTGGAATTCTATAGGAAGAGCTGTCCTTCTCCCCCACTTATTTATTCAATTACTCATATAAATCTGGTCTCATAGTTTTTATTTGATTCAGTGAGTTATAACAATATTATTTTCTGCAATATATACACATGCACACAAAAGTAATATAACTATTACTACCTATCTATATCTATCTATCTGTCTATCTAATCTATCATCTATCTATCTCTATTTTTGAGTAGGGGTGGCCCAATTCTCTGGCGCTCTCTTCCTTTTTGTGGAGTCCCCTCTGAGGTCCGGAACCTTTGCTTGACTCTCACGCTGTCTAGGGAAGTTTTATGAGGTGAAACCTACCTACAGACTGGCAACCAATAGAGAGTGGGAATACGGGGCTGAGGGGAGGGTGGAGGGAGAGAAAATGGACGGCTAGGGGGCGGAGCCAAGGACCTGCACCGCTGTTGGGAGTTATGGTAGGCCTAAACTCTGAAAAGAAATTGGGCAGGCGGAGGGGGTGGTGGTTGGAGAGTAAGGGGCAGGTCCCTCGCCTCATCTGCTAAAAGGCAGCCTCTGCTGCGCTGGTCCGAAGGGGCGGGGCGCCAGCCGTAAGTCCCAATCGCCAGCGGGCTGTGGCCTCAACGTGTCCCCGTCTCTGCTTCCTCTTCTGCTGGTCTCCGTTTCCCAGATCTGTCTGCCTCACTGCCTCTCGATGTCTCTGTCTCCCGCTTTCTTCGCTTTTGGTGGTCGGCTTTCGTGTCCGCAGTCTCTTTCTCCTGCTTCCGTCTCCTCAGCCTTGGTCATTCTCCCGGGTGTTGGTGCCCGAGACCTGAGAGCCTGCCTGCGAGCCAAGCTCTACCTGGAGAGAGATGGAGGAACCGGGGTCCTGTGCAGGTGAGCAGGTCTGGGAGACTGGAGAGCCCTGCGAAAAGTGGGGCAGTGAGACTGTGGGAAAGTTTGGCAGCACCATCTGGGCTTAGGAAGTACAGCCTTGAAAGAATCTTGAGTCAGAGCCACCCCAGTCAGTTAGCGTTTCAGACACCTGGAATAATATTCTTGGCTAGTTCTATTTTTGTTTTCCTTCCACAGAAGCCAAATTTAAACCCGAGAATTATCATTTTAGAGATGAAAGGGAACAGAGATTGGGAAAACCCTTTTTTACTAGAGAGGGGTCTGTGGGCCGCAGAGACCCGTGAGCTGGAACTTAAAAGGAGACCTCGGTCTTGATCCAGGTTTTGCTACCAATTCAATGAGTGGCCTCACGTAAGTTTATTCCTCTCCATGGGCCTCAGTTTTCCCAAAGGTGGTACCACGAGCAGGGCTCGGTCTATAGGACCTCCAAAAGCCTGATAATGTGATGGGTGCTTCTTAAATATTCGTTGTTTAGGAGTGAGTAAATGAGATTGGGAGGTCTCCTTCTGGGGTTCACTGGGAATCTATGGAGTTACATTGTTCTTACACCCTGAGAAATAGGTGGTATTATCTCCATTATAAGGATATGGTCTCAGAAATAAAGCAATTTGCAAGTAAGAATAAAAGCCAAATCACACTTCAAAGTCCATGCTATCGATATGCTTATCCTCCTAGTAAGAGAGCAGGGAGGACTTGACTGAAAGGTGATTACATGGAGCAGCAATTATTAATACGAGTTCTGTGCTCAAATGAACAATTCTAAAGCAGAACTGTATCTGATTCTTCTCTATCCCTAGTTCCCAGCATATGGTGTGTATGAAATAGTTTGGGTATCAATCAGAGTCACCATCTATGTCAGTGCTGTCATCAACATGATCAGTATAATCATAATGAAAACTAATGATAATGACTCTAATTGTTGGAGTGATAGCAAAGCCATAAGTGAAATTGTGAAGACATCAAAATTTATAATAAAGACTTTTATTTATGGTGCTTTAAAGCTTATGATGCACTTTACAGTAGTTCTTCATATTGATCATCTTAGGTAGATGTTATTCTTATCCACATTTTACAAGCAAAGAATCCAAGACCTAGAGAGATTAAGTGACTAGCACAAAGTCACAAAGTGACAGGGCACCAGTCCGGTCCCATATATGTTCTTTGGTGCTCTCTCTGCTTCCTCTCCCTTTCCTTTCTCCTAGTCCTTTCTCCCCACTTTATGCTTATCCTTTGCTTTATTCTTCTTTTTTCAATGTTAACTAATAATCATTTGTTGACTAATGATTAATAGTGTTGGTATTAACTCATAATTGATGTGTTAGCTTATAAGAGTTGAAAATATAATCTCTCCCAGAGGTGCGGAGGGATTTAAATGCTTTTAAGAAGGTAAATTGTAATTGTGGTTGCTGTTATAATCATCATGATCACCCATAGGTTTCAAGCACTAAAACTAGAATATGCAGGGATTGACAGTCTAACAATAATAACTGTCACATATTGAGCTCATACTATGTCATGGGCTCTGTAATACTCACTTCAACTTTTTAACTTAATTCTTTCAACCACATAGAGAAGTTAAATTAACATGCCCAAAGTCATGTCGTGCCGGCCTGGTTCAAATCCTATGTTCCTAATCTTTATACCAGCTTGGCTCAGGGACTGATTTTTATTTAAAAGAAAGTCATATCCTCCCCGACAGGAGAGCCCGAACTGGGGGGAGAGATGTTCTAGGATTGTGTGAAGCAGGCAATTCACCCATGCCTTTCAATTCTGTGACTGAGAGCCCAGAACTGCATTGAGGGGGGGCTTTTCTTCTGGACTCCGGAGACCACTTCCCTATACCCCTCATGATAGTGAGTCATGGTTCTCTTTAAGTTAGAAATAGTGACTAAATGATACTCATATGCCACTGATGAAAGTTTGTCTTGATTGGCACTAGGAGGAGACAGCCACAAGCAGTGTAACGTTCCCCTTCAGTTCATTGCCCACAAGGCTACCTGAGAGATTGGTCTAAAATGCATACTCGATCATGCCATTCCTCTGCCAAAGACTCTCGAGTGGCTCCCTGTCTGTGGGATAAGCACCTTAATAAGGTATCAAAGCCTCCCCGGATCTGAACTCTGCTGACTCCTTTTAGTCCCATCTCTTCTCACAGCTTTTGACTGGGACAGTCATACTGGACTACTGAGGATCCCCACAGCTCATGGTATTTTCTGTCACCTATAGGCTTTTCACATCCTCTCTCTCTGCCCTTCTCCTTTTTTACCCTTCAGTTGGCTTACCCACTGTTCATCCTTTAAGATCCAGCTCACCTATTCATCAAATATTAGTCAAGTGTCTATCAATTACCAGACATGGTTATAGGTATAGAGGTGTAACAGAATAAAACAGACATATCTCTGCCCCTTATGAAGCATCTAGTTTGTAGTATATATTAAACAAGTATTAACAGATGGGTAAGTGGCATGGAGAAAAGAGCAGAGAAAGGAGATTTGGAACTCAGGGGAGTTAACAGGGAAGGCCTTGCTGACTCGCGTAACATGGAACAGAGTAGAAGGAGGTGAGGAAATGAGGTGTGTGGCTACCTGAAAGAATATTGCAGACACAGAATATGAATATATGAGACAGGAGTGCCCTTGGTTTAGTTGTTACCTCTCCAGAAATCCTCTTCTGCCTTCATCTCGACAGCTGCCTTTTTCTATTTTTCTACATGCTCTCATGGTTTACCTCTAACGTAACACTTATTACATGATGTTGTAATTGTTCATGTTTAGGTCTGTTTCCCTCACTAGGTTGTGGGTTTCTTCAGGGAAGGGACCTCTGATTTCTGTCTCCTTAGCACCTACCTTATGGCCTGACTTGGAAGGCACCTAGAAATACTGATTAAATAAAGGAATATGATCTTATGGGCCTCATTCTTACAGCCTGGTAATTTTTACAAATGATTTGTAAGACAGGGATTGGATGACAGGTGAGAGAGATTAAAAAAAAAAAAATGTTAAGCCTGGTTCTGGCTGGCTGGCTTGATTCCCTTTTTGGGCCTCTGATTTCGGCAGAACACCTGATTTTCTTTGAGAAGTGTATCCAGAGACTTCCATTTTCAGGATATGGCTAGCTATCTAACCTGTGAAATGGAAGATAAAATATAACAAAAGTCCTTTAAGCTGAAATTGCAAGGAAGTAAGAGAACTTCTCAGGGGCCTAAAAACCAAGAGTAAACTGAAAACCAGATAGTTACAGTTAGCCCCTTAACCTGACGTCAGCTGCCCTGGAGATTTGCTGGCCTTACTTATGTAGAAGCTTGGGCTTTAACAGACCTGCTGTTGCAGTGCATGAAACTATGGGCCAGCATGGGCCAGAGACTCTGGTTGGACCTGAGATCCCTGCATGAAGTCCCTTGAAAACCTACACTTTCTGGTGAGGTGGAGTAGGAAAAAAAATCTTGCTACTGACACAGAGGTGACAAAGAAGATTGCCTTTTATCCTAGGCTCCAGTAGAGGGGAAAAGTTTCCCCAGGGAATTCTTAAACACAGGAATTCCTTCATACCGATTTGGGTTTATATTTATGTTACCTGAATGGCCTAAAAACTCCAAGCCAAGAAATTGACATTAGAAGCCATCCGGGTTGGTAATACCACTGGATGATTGGCAGGAGCATATGCAGAATCTCCGGAGAAACCCACTTGACACAGGCTGCAGAGGATTCCCACAGCCTGGAGGATAGGTTTGTTAAACAAAAGTGCATATTGCTGGCTTTGGTTGTTGAGGCCATGATGTTATTTTTGTATTAAAAAAAGGTAAGTATTTGAGTACATTTCTGCCTCTCAGTGATCTCCAGAAATGGAGTGATAGACCAGAACTTGTATACTAGCCAGCATTTGGATATGGATACACATTTGGCTGCCTCCTATCCTTGCAGAGGTCATGGAAGAAGTGACGTCCTGCTCCTTCAACACCCCTCTGTTCCAGCAGGAAGACAAGAGAGGGATCACCTACCGGATCCCAGCCCTGCTCTACGTACCCCCCACCCACACGTTCCTGGCCTTTGCAGAGAAGCGCTCTACGAGCAGGGATGAGGATGCTCTCCACCTGGTGCTGAGGCGAGGGTTGAGGACCGGGCACTCAGTACAGGTGACTCCTCATCCTAGATCTGGGCCTGGGCCTCAGTTTCTCTCCACATTTTCTCAGAGCACTCAAGAGTCTGTGCCTTTTCCCATCAGTGCAGGAAAAGCCCTATGTGGGAGCTGAGGTGGAAAAAACAATAAAACCATTGCCTTTCACTTACTGAGTACTGGCTGTGTGCCAGGGACATATTGATCTCAGGCTCTGTGGGACATAGGAATTTTACAGATGAGAAAACTGAGGCTCAGAGAGCTTGCTACTTGCTCACGGTCACACAGCTATAATAAAGGAGTAGAAGCAGGCTTCACACTTGATGTCTGACTCCAGAAGCCTCCAGAACATGTGGTTCATGTGTCCTTTTCATTTACATTCTTTTGTATCTTCATAAGTCACCCAGGAAAGTAAACAGTGTTAGCCCAGGTTTGCTGATGAGGGATCCTGGCGCTCCGAGAGGCAGGCAACTTGTTCAAAACCACAACTAGCAGGTGATGGGTTGTAGGATGACAACAGTCATTCTTCTGCTACTGCTCTTCTTCCTGCCTCGTGCTTTATTCACTTTTATCTCTGATTTACTAATTGTAGAATCTTGAAATTAGAAGAATCATCAGTCCAACTTCTTTCCCAGTATAGAAATTTTCTGTACTCCATTGGTAGCTACTAATAGCTCAGGGGTTAAGAGCCCGGCTTTGAAGTCAGGCAAGCCCTAAACATTTATTGGCTGTATAGCCTTGGATACTTGCCTCTTTTCTGTTTCATCATCCGCAAAATGTAATAGTAGCAATTACAATACCCAGTAGGAACTCAACATTAGTCACCTTCTATAAAGGGTCTCCTTACACAACTCCTCAGATGAGGAACTTAATCCTGTGGCACCTGTTAACTTTTTTTGGAGGGACGAGATGATCTATACTCTACAATTACCTGTTGGTCTTGTTCTGTCCTCTGGGATAATGAGTCTGTACATAATAAAGTCCCTTCTTCTGAGAGAACTCTTTCGTCTACGTGAAATTATCATTCATGCTCTCTGAGTCCTCTATTTTTGGTTCGACAACTTCAGTTCTTTTAGTGTCTTCCTTAGCTACAGCCTGGATTTGGTTTCTGGGCCCTTGAATACATTACTCCCTTTGGGATCTGGTCTGGGATGTCAGTGTCCTTTTTCAAAGAATGATACTCAGAATTGAACTTGGACCCCAAGGATAGAGCCACCCCAGCAGTGAGGCGCCTATCCCACCTTGTATCCTTCTCATGCATCCTAAAGGAAAGTAACATTCACTTTTTTGATCCTGCATAACACTGTAGACTATTAAGTCAATAGCTAAAATCTCCCAAGTTTTTTTCACATTTGTTGTTCTTTTTTTAAAAAAAAAAACTTTTGTGGTAAAATACACCTAATAAAATTTTCCATCTTAATTGTCTTAAGTGTACCTTATGGTATTGTTAACTATATGCACATTATTGTGCAACAGTTCTTTTTAAAATTTGTTACTGTACATGACTGCAGTTCTGTACACATTGAATGACCCCTCATTTTCCCCTTCTTCTGTCTCTAGTAATCACTATTCTACTTTGTCTCTATGACGAAGGCTCTATCCCTAGAGCGACAGTAGGAAATTAAATCTGCTCTCTAGGCCTCTTCTTGGCACTTGGGAGGGAGAGGAGCCTCTGGGCATTGTTTATGTTGTTTCTACCTGAGTGTCATTACTTTCGGTGTCTCGTATCAGCAGAATCATGCAGCATTTGTCTTTTTGTGATTGGCTTATTTCATTTGGAACAGCAGTTTTCAACTGGTTTGACACACGAAATTTTAAAACATGCAATACCTGACTGGTAAGGGACACTGACCTCTTTTCCGTTAGATTCTCAAATAAAAAAAATGACAACAGACAACACAACACAAACACAAATAGCTGTCCAGTGCGAATGAATCAAAATTATACCAATTTTCTTGGATCGGCAAAAAATATATTTCTTGGTGTGCCGCAAAATTTTAGTAATTAGTTTATGTGTGCCATGAGATGAAAAAGGTTGAATGCTGATTTAGAATAATATCCTCAAGGTTCATGTTGTAGTGTATGGCAGGATTTCCTTCATTTTAAAGGCCGAATATTCCACTGTATGCTTTTCCATATATTGGTTTATCCATGTTGGTTATCCATTCTTGATGGAGACTTGGGTTGTACCTTTTGGTTCTTGAGAATAACGCTCTGTGAACATGGTGTGAAAATATCTCTTTGAGACATTGCTTTCAATTTTTTGGATATATACCTAGAAGTAGAATTGCTGGGTCATATGGTGATTCTATTTTTAATTTCTTGAGGAGCTCTCATGCTGTTTTCCACAGTGAGTGTACTATTTTATTATCCCAAGAACATTGTACAAAGGTTTTTATTTCTATCCTTGCCAACACTTATTTTGTGTTTTTTGATAGAAGTCATCCTCATGGGTAAGACGTGATATCAAAAACTTCCATAATTATTAACAGTATTGAGAATTTTTTAATAAACTTGTTGGCTATTACATTTGTTATTCTTTTTTTTTCTTTTTCCATTTATTGGTTCTAGAGAGAGGGGAAGGCAGGGAAAAGGAAAGGGAGAGAGACATTGATATGAGAGAGAAACATCGATCAGTTGCCACTTGCATGCACCCCAGATGGGAACTGAACCTGAAACCCAGGCATGTGCCCTGACCTTATGGCTTGCAGGACACTACCCAACCAAGTGAGACACATTGGCCAGGGCTATTTTTGTTGCTCTTTAATCATGTGTCTCCATCCAGATTTTTAAGCTCAAGACATTTTTTTTTTTAATCTCTGTCAATCCTCAGCTTGTTTATATTTCATTACTGCAACTGGTTGCGATTATTTGGATTCTAATGCTTTCATCTTTAGTTTACTGTTTCTTAGAGCTTCATGTAAACTTTATGTTAGACATATCAGGCCTAAGTCATACTCTCCTTTCAGTTGCTAAGGATGGCTGAGCATCTGGCTTCCCTGACTAGCCTGTCCAGTAATTTTTTCCCCCTCGTATTCCTAAAGGGAGTAGCAGTGCTGATGGATTTCTTACCCTTATCTTATTGGATTTTGCTCAAGGTTCTTAATCTGAGCAATCTTAATCAACCAAATGAGTTTGCAGCAGATGAGTTATTTCTCATGGGAAGCACATTTTCACTGCTATCCATAAAGTATTGGTTTCAACACAGGGTGCTGAGGAGACAAGGGCTCTATCCCTAGAGCGACAGTAGGAAATTAAATCTGCTCTCTAGGCCTATTCTTGGCACTTGGGAGGAAGAGGAGCCTCTGGACATTGTTTATATTGTTTCTACCTGAGAGCCTTTCTGTAATCCTTCTGTTCACTCCCCCCTTTCATTCTTCCCTCCCTCTTTCCCTTCTTTCTTCTCTCCTCTCGCTTCCATCCCTGTGTCCCTTCTTCCTTTCTCTTTACTTTCCTCCTTTCTTCAATAGACATTTATTGAGCACTTACTGTGTTCCAGCCATTAAATTAGGGGGGATGTCTAGAGGGAGGCAAAACAAAAGATGACAGATTCTGGCGTCTCTTTGCAAAGAATTTGCACAACTGAATTGCAGAGAGAAAGTAGAGCTGTGCACAGATGTAACTTTCCAAATCCATACAGAATCCGTGAAGTGTCACAAGGTAGGTTCGTCCTGTCAGCGTGGGGTATTTCCTTAGAAGAAGGAGTTCAAATGCATTTGAGTATCAGAGAAGCTACTGTGTGGGCCACTGCATTTATACTGATTCTCAAAGTGAGTGGGTTGAAGGTGAGCAGAATCAAAGGTTTCTCCCTGGCTTCTCTACATCTAGAAATGGTCCTTTCCTTCTCTGATGTCCACAGTACTTTATCTCCTCTCTCTGATGGTATCTGTGAGGCCCTGGAGTCTGCTCTGTGGGTGCTTTTCCTCTCCTCAAGGCAGGCCTGGCTGTCCCTCCCACTGGTGGCCTTCTGGACCTTGATTCCCTGAGTTACTGAGAACTGAGGTCCTGCCTCCATGGGTTTAAAATGCAGTCAGACTGCGATGTGCACTTCCTATGCAATGAGAGTTTCCAGAGAGTAACAGTGCCATTTGGGAGGATTTAGAAAACAGTCTTCAATTTGTTAGCAATCTGGGAGAGCTCTGTAGAGAAAGGCGGGCTGCTGTCCAATAATTATGCTGATTTTGGCACATGTTTGAAGTGTTTACAGAACACAGGGGACTCTGCCATAGAATGGGCTGCTCTAGAGATAGTGAGTTCCCTGTCCTTAAACTAGTTCAAGGAGGGACTAGTCTTTAAGCAGAAAACTTAGAAGAAAATATTCTGTAAGATGGGAGTTAGCTCTAAGTCCTTATGATTTTGAGACCCCTTGGTCTGAGCTTTTCTTAATAATAGTTTTTGCCCATTCCTATAGGAATTAAAACTCTAAAACTTTTTTTGTTCTGGCTAGTCAATACATTTATATGGCTGAAAAATAAAAACAGTATAAAAGGGTATGCATCCCATTCCCAGTCTTGAACCTCCTGTCGGCAGTCAGTTGCTGCTTATGTATTCTTCTAGTGCTTCTTCACACAGAAAGAAATACAAGTACATATCCTTAATTCTGCCTTTTAAAGCATTTTAATATGAAGTGATAACACATATACAGAAAACGTAAGTGCCAAATGCACAAAACATAAATGTCAGCTCTGAATTGACAGAGACAACACTTGTGAATTCACCACTCAACTCAAAAATAGAATATTACCAGCAACTTAGAAGCTTCTCATATGTCTCCCCTCTCCTTCCCAGAGGTAATTACTATTCTGATTTATAGCTCTTGAGTTTAGTTTTGTTTGTTTTTAATCTGTGTATTTTTTTAGTTACAATTTACATTCAATATCATTTTGTATTAGTTTCAGGCATGCAGCATAATGGTTAGACATTCATATACTCTGTTTGTCTTCCTTTGTTCAACATTATATTCTTGAGGTTTCTCCAAATTAGGTGTACAGCTGTGATTTGTTCATTTTCATTGTTTCAAAGTATCCTGTTATATGACTGTACAGCAATTAATTGATCTATTCTGTTGTTGCATATTTGGGTTAGCTATTATATGTATAGATAATGCTGCGCTAAATATTCTATGTGTTTTTCAGTACTAGGCACATGTATTTTTGTTGGGTTTATATCTAGAAATGGAATTAACTAGATTGTAGGATATGTTGATGTCCTATTTCGGTAGGTAATGCCAGACAGTTTTCTAGCGTGGTGGTTGTGAGGGTAGGTCTACTTCAGTTTCTCTCTTACTCCTGGGATTTAGCCCTTTAGGTTTCCAACGCAAAGCAAGGGAGTTTACCAAGGCTTCTATGTTTTTTGTCCTCCTAGCCCCATATGTTTCTCAGGAATTGCTCAGCTTCTCAGTTACCTCTTTTAAAATTATAGAGATACTTTGAGAGGAAAAGAGACTTGAAATACTAGACTAATATTGTTTCTTTTTTTTTTTATTGTTCAAATACATTTGTCTCCACCTTCCTACCACCACTTTCCCCTGCCCCCCCCCCCCCCCCCCCCAATTTTAAAATATATTAATGAGATTAGGCCTCTGTTTGTGATATGTCTGATTAGGCACTATCTCATTTTATCCTTACAACAACTCCTTTCTGAGCATGTTATTACATCCTCCATTTAACTGATGAAGAAACTGAAGTAACAGAAGATTAAATAACTTGTCTAAGGTCACACAGTAAGTGATGAAAGCAGGGTTTGAATTAGGTATCTCTGACTCCATGCTTGAATTTTTAATGACACTTATGCATTGCCTCCTCAGGGTAGTAGAGGAAGGAAAGAAAAAAAAAAATCTCTGTCTTAAATTTCCCTTTATATGCCTAAAATGTCCATGTTTGTCTTCCTTGCTTTGTGTTAATTCCGTTTTGTTTCTTTCTTTCCTTCCTATTTTTTTTTTTTTTGGAGGGGACCTTCCTTTCTTTTAAAAAATATTTATGTAGCTTCTCTCATGTGCTGAACACTGGAGATACAAAATTAGAATAATTTGGTTTCTACCCTCAAAAGATTCATAGTTTAGGGAGGGAGCCACTCACATAAAAAATATGATGTTATGTAATAATTGCTAGAAATCCCCTCTGTGTACAAAGAGGAAGCCTTTGGTAGAGGAGGACAGAGAGTGCCATAGAAGGCTTCATAAAGGAGGTGACTTTTGAGTTGGATGTTTTGGGATGAATTGGGCATCTAGAAAAAGTGAGGAAGAATATTTTAGATAGAGGGGGCAGCAGGAGAATTCAGTGACTACTTGGGCCTTCCCAATTTTATAGATTTCAATACCATTTATTCCTCTTCTCTGAAAAGTTCTAATGCTTTTAATGAGTCTTAAGTCTTCCCATTAGTCTCTCACTCCTTCCTCTCTCCCTTACTCTTGTCTAGTGGGGACCACTAACGCCACTGATGGAAGCCATGTTGCCTGGGCATCGGACCATGAACCCCTGTCCTGTGTGGGAGCAGAAGAGTGGCTGTGTGTATCTGTTCTTCATTTGTGTGCAGGGCCATGTCACTGAGCGTCAACAGATCGTGTCAGGCAGGAATGCTGCTCGCCTCTGCTTCATCTGCAGTCAGGATTCTGGCTATTCATGGAGCGATGTGAGGGACCTGACTGAGGAGGTCATTGGCTCAGAAGTGAAGCATTGGGCCACATTTGCTGTGGGCCCGGGCCATGGCATCCAGCTGCAGTCGGGGAGGCTGGTCATCCCTGCATATGCCTACCACATCCCTTACTGGTTCTTTTGCTTCCCGTTACCATGTAAAGCCAGGCCTCATTCCCTGATGATCTACAGTGATGACCTAGGGGCCACATGGCACCATGGCAGGTTCATTAAGCCCATGGTGACAGTAGAGTGTGAAGTGGCAGAGGTGACTGGGAAGGCCGGCCACCCTGTGCTGTATTGCAGTGCCCGGACGCCAAACAGGTGCCGAGCAGAGGCTCTCAGCACTGACCACGGCGAATGCTTTCAGAGGCCGGCCCTGAGCCAGCAGCTCTGTGAGCCCCCGCATGGCTGCCAAGGTAGTGTGGTGAGTTTCCAGGCCCTGAGGATCCCACGTGGGTGCCAGGACCGTACTGGCAAAGATGCCCCTATCGTTCAGCAGACCCCTCTGCTGGACAGCTCTTTGAGGCTACAACAGGAAACTGGAACACTGTCAGAATCATGGCTCTTGTACTCACACCCAACCAGTAAGAAACGGAGGGTTAACCTAGGCATCTACCTCAACCAGACCCCCTTGGAGGCGGCCTGCTGGTCCTCGCCATGGATCTTGCACTGCGGGCCCTGCGGCTACTCTGATTTGGCTGCGCTGGAGGATGGCTTGTTTGGGTGTTTGTTTGAGTGTGGGACCAAGCGAGAATGTGAGCAGATTGCCTTCCGCCTGTTCACAGACGAAGAGATTCTAAGTCATGTGCAAGGTGACTGCACCAGCCCTGGTAGGAACATGGAACCAGTTCAAAACTAACTGGCTTAGGATCCAACTTTCCATAGAAGGGAAACCATCAGAAGGCAACCACAGCCAGGAAAATGGAGGCCAGGATAACAGACGTTACTGAACCTACAGGGAATCCCAAAACCTAATATTCTGTTCCCTACCTTTTTTCACCTCTCCAAAGAGGAGAATGAAAAAATTTTGCCATAGCTACTGCAGTAGAAATAGCCCTGAATAATGTAAATTAGGAGACCTTGATATGATCCTGGGCCTGCCACCGCTAGCTCTGGGACTTGAACTCTCTGGGCCTCAGGTCTTCATCTGTAAAATGAGGTCATTCATTATGTGATTTCTCTCCTTCCTGTCCCAAGGGAAGGCAGAGTGCCTGCTTGCTCCATGACCAGTATGTCCTGGCTGCAGATAGGACTCTGATCTCAAAATAGAAATCAGAGGACCCATCTTTTCAAATGACTTACCATTCATCCAACTGTGAAGTTATAAGAAGGTGTCGTGTCATAAAGAAGGATTTGGATTGTTCAGTTTTTAATAGAAACATCCACACCCTTCTAATCACGCTCAGAGCTCTATGGGTTATCCTAGAGGAACTGGGCAAAACAATAGAATCATGAGGTCACCTACCTTCTTCAGCTTTGCAGCTTTGCTCAACCTGCACTTCCTCATCCAGAAAGCCTTATTTCCTAGGCACAAAATGATGGCTTTACTCCTATGAAAGATGAACCTGAAGTTCATTTATTAGGATGGTTCCTTATGGGAAAAAGACATGGCTTAAGGCTTTAAAGCATTGGCCAAATCTTTCCACAGTCTCTGCTCTCAGGGAGCTCATAGTTTATGAGGCTAGAAGGAGAAAATTAAAAAGAAAAAAATGCGGCAGGTAGAACAATCTGTAGATGTTGGGCTGTAACTTGGTGTGATGGTAGCTCATTGTCCTTGCTGAACCTTTATTGTGCCTGGAGTCATCTGCCCCAAGCGCTCATCCAGGCTGCTGGGTTTCTCCTAAGTTTGTTTTTCTGAGAATGTTGTCTTGGCCCAGCCACTTCATTTGCCAGTGGAGAAAGTCTTCAAAGTTAGAAAGGTCTCTGGACACCCCCAAGCCACTGAATCTGGTCTGTTTGTTTGGACCTACTGAAATCACTATTTGTAAAGTGGGGATGACATTTGTCTAGTAGTTTTAGGGCTTAACTTTGCCAGTAGTGGGTCTCTTGGATAATACCAGAGCGGTTGCTCTTACTTTAGATTGCTTCCCCCTTAGCTTGTTATTGTGAGAGAGGTTCTATCATGAGAGATTTCTTTTTTGTCCCCCTTAAACTGGCATATCAGCTAAATAAAGGATGGAGGAAAAGTAGATCCACAGTTCCTATGGAAAACAATGCAATAATAAACTTGCTTCTGCCCCACCCTGTATATGTGGTGCTAGGCAATGACCCCGGAGAGCAAGTCTTAGTGGTAGAAGGTAGCCTAGGATGCACCTGCCAGATGGGGGAAGAGTCCTACAGGAGGGAAGTGGAGATCAGCTTCACTTACTTCAGCATATGGTTAAAGCCCATGTCTTAGTGTAGCCTCATATGTTTGCCATCATCTTCCCAGAAGTCAGCTGCAATCATTCATTCACTCATTTATACATTTATGTAAATATTTCTTGGGTGCCTGCACATAATGTAAGGTGCTTTCTGTTGCTGTCCCTTGGATGAAAATAATTTGTGGCTCCTCATTGCCTGTTAAAGGGTATTTACCTTTAGCATGGCATGTGGGACCTTTGGTTGTTGAGTGAAATAATGATTACTTATCTCTACTTCTTGATATGAAGCCTGCTGTCAAAGAAGACCTCTGTCAAGTTGGCAGGTGGAGGGAGGTAGGGGTTTGGTGCAGGGGAGAGGATTAAAAGCACATCCCCCTCCTAGTATTAGAAACTTCTTGTTCAGCAAAGCGTACCTGAGCACTATACTCCAAACAGATAGGAATAGGGAGGATGGATGGCTAAGCTCTGCAGTCAGGGCTAAAGGGTGGAGAGAATGGTAATATCTTTGGGACCATCCAAGAAGGGCGTCAAGGAAGGGACTTCAGTTGTATGCCAGTGTTGGCCACAGATGTTTAGTGTGATACTCGTAAGATGCCTCAACCATCCCTAAATTGCCCTCTTCATTCTCCTTCCCTTTTGCCTCATGTTTGCTTCTCTTAGTGAGAAACTCCCTGAATAGGCAATAAATTCCTTTAATAGGCAAGTAGGCAAATATGTGCACATTTCAGAATTAGCAAGAAAAGAGGGGGACAGGCATAATCCAGAATGAGGACTAGAGAGAGGGACAGGGTGGGTGATGGCAGCTGTGAAGAAAAAGAACAGCAGATAGAAGTCCTGGCACCTTTAGGAAGAGAGAGAAAGTAGTACAGATGAGGCCTAGGCCGGACACGTGGCGTAGGTGGTGGTTGCTGTGAAGAAGAATCGGTAACAGGCTGGAGCGATTCCCCAAACCATGTGGGAACAGAAAGAGGCCTGCACAGAGCAGCAGGTTAGGCTGCAGATAAGTTCCTACCCAACCCTGTAACTTTAAGCTGGCTCAGTTTGTCCATGCTCCAGGCGACCAACAAAAACATCCAACTCTATGTGCCAATTACTCAAGATCATCAGGGCCCTAGAACCTATACCATGGTACTGGTATCCTAACTAAGCCTATTGCAGCCACTGCCAGGTTGGTAGAATGGAAAAGATAGGGCAGATGATAGCAGCTGTGAAGAAAAGAAAGTAGACTGAAGGCCTATATTCTAGAGGCATAAAGAAAGGTCTATAAAGGCTGTGGTCCTTTGCTCCCAGATGCCCCACCCTGTCCTTGGACCTTTCGTGGGTCCATCTAACACAGGTGGCCCACCGCTGGAAGTGCAAGAAAGCACAGGTAGTGGCCTCCTGCCGCTGGTATGCACCCAGACCAGCCTCCCATCCATTCACCCTGCTGGTCTTGCTCGTGCTCCCTAACTCCTAGGCTCCTAATATTTACCTCAGGGCTTTGTTATTTGGCCCTTGTTACTTGGAGCTGTTTTCCCTGGTCACCACAGGGTATAATATAACTAGAGCCATAGGTAAGAGGCCTTGCAGCCTGCTTGTTGGGTAGCCCAAGGGACCCACAGAGACCACCCTGAGGCTGCACAGCCTCCTCCTCGGGAGAGTGGGATTCAGTCCTTACTTGGGCTAGATTAAATTGCTCAGTGTTCTTCAGTAGGCTGTGAATTTTCCCCACTGCATTATTCAGTAGACGCCGTGGCACCCTCCCCTGCGCTGCCCCAGTGCGCAGTTGGAGCCTCTCTGGTCCTTACCGTGGGCTGCCCTATGTTGCTGTTGCCTGTGTGCTGTGCCCTCTAGGCCTCTGCTGAGCAGTTGCTGGGCTGCTTGAGGGTGCAATCGGACTCCTCACTGTGTGCTTTTCACCTTGAATCATAATGACTTCATAAATAAATGCTTCTATCATACTTTGAATTCCCTGAAGATAAGGCCTCTGAGTCCTCTCTTTGTCCTCCTCACCGAGCACAGGGCCGGGCACAAAATAGACAACAGTAAAGCTCTGCTGACTTAATAAAGGAATGAAAGACCCATGGCCTTCTGGAGCTAATGAGGAGGCTAGGGTGAGCTCCCTCTCGGGGGGAGCATGCGGCATCCCTCTGGGTTCATGGCACTCCGGACCTGCCGCACGCTCACCCAGAGGCTTCTCTGTGCTGGCGTGCTTCCACGTCAGTCACAGGGTTTCCTGGGGATGAGCTCTTCTCTGGCTTGAGTCTGGTCTTGCCTGGATATCCCCAGGATCACAGCCCAAGCCCAAAGCGAAGCCTTGATTTGGGGTTCTCATTTCACTGGTATTCCCCTGTCTGATTGGGTTTTCTGTAACTACTTCTCCTCCAGGACTCTGAGGGAGATGCTGACCCTCAGCATGTTCTGTGTGTGGCTTGGTTCTGTGATACCAGGTGCCACAAATGCTCTCTGTACTGTAAAGACTGAAAACTGCCATGACTCTTTGAAACAAGGAAAATGAATAAAGAGTGTAATTTTGGTGACGACTGGTTTTGTTGTAAAGGAAACTGAGATCATAATCATCCTAATACTTCTATCTACTTTGTACCCAACTTTTTTTAAGATTTGAGGCATTTTCTTGCTTTCCATAGAACTTTTACTTTCAGAAAACATTATTAATAATAATCCTTTGCACTTTTACACATTGTTACTTGAACGCAGTTACCTGTTGACGGAAGCGGGGCAGAAGTGACCACGACTGGTTTGATTGCATATCACACACTAGCTGTTAAGTGGAGGCACCAGGATGCACAGAATCCCCCTTCCTGCACCAGCCCCAGGGCTTGTCACTGCACATCTTGTTTTTTTTTTTTTCAAAAATACCTTGAGATTGTGCAAGTTGCAGTTGAAGAGACCCACAAATATTTACCTCAGTGAAGTGGGGTGATTGCTTGACCTCCTCTTTGTTCTATTGGGATGCTTATGGCACTGTTGATTCCACCAAGTGTTTCAGCATAGCTCCTCCAGTCCTGTCGGTGGGTCAGTCTGCTTTTTTTAAAAAAACAAGTTGACTATTGAAAAAGTTTCAAATGGACGTATCTTTTGTTGTACCACTGGGAGTCACATAATGATGAAAGAATAAACGAAGTTTAGAGGACTAATTTACCTCTAAAAATAGTTTTACAATAATTATATAATTGCTTTAAAAAATCCAGTGATCTATTTTATTTTCAAGTGTTTTGTTAGTGCTTAACATCTAAGGGACTCTGGGCTTGAGAGGTATATACACTACAACATAAATTTTAGTGCTTGAATATTTAAACAATAACATTTGATTAATTAAACCGCTTTAAACATAAATACAGTTACAGATTTAGTGTAGCTGATTTTTTCTGAACAATAGTTCAAACACCCTACATAGTAGATAGAACCAATGATAATAGAACACACCCTTATACCAAAATGGAGTACAAAAAAGTCGATGCTGTGGATTTAACTGTTCCTCATTATCATTGCACTTTTTGTGACTTCTAACTTTTCAACCTCTTTAGAGTTTTAGTAACTATCAGATTTTCCCCTGCACCCTCCCAGGGATTTAGTTATAGCAGATCCCAAGGAAAAAGAACACCATTTCAGACAAGCTCTCTGTCCGCTGGAGCATGAAATTGAGGGGTTGGGGCCTGGAACCAAAGACAGCCACCTGCTCTTCCTTGGCTTGCGGGGAACGCCTGTGTGCATGGAAGCCTGAAAGAATGGAGCCGGCAGAAACAGTCCTTAGGATATCCGCTGGGTCCTCCCTGTTATGGGAACCTGTAAACACCAACCTTCATTCAATTTTTTATTAAGCTGGTTAGGGTTGGATGTATATAGCTTGAAACCAAAAGATACACCTTTTCACAGAAAATTTGACTAATTAGTAATATAATCTATCGGTCACAATGTGTAGCAGCACTACAGCTGTGAGAAATGAACTTTAGTATACTAAAATGTGCTCAACAGTATTATCTAAAGGGTACATTAACAGGAGAGACATTGGGATAAAATAGAGAAAGGGATGGACTTGGAAGAGTCAGGATCCTTATCCTAGAGCTTGCCACTGATGTCATAGGTGAGTTTGACCCGTCACCGCCCTCTCTTGGAACCCATTTATTCAGCTATAGCAAGAGCGTGGTCCTTGCCCTGCCACTCACAGCACTAACCTGATGAGCTAGTGAGTCCTCAAAAGGGTTTAGGAAACAGTGCAGTGCAGTGTCAACAGCAGTTAAATTACCTTTCACCCATGGATCTCCATTTATTATCCATCTGCACTGGCAACATTTGACAGCTGAATGCTGGAAATGAAGGTGATGGATAGAGAAGGAGAGGAGGGAGGCAGGGCCCACTGAGGAGGGCACGCCAATCTATGCCTCTAGGCAAGGACAGCCACCTTGCCTCACCTCCACCATGTCCTTAGCGAACTGCAGCCCTTATGATTTTGCTCAGGCTCTAACTTTGCCCCAGACCTTTTGCTCCCTTACTATGAGGAGTGACCCAGCCTGGGTACAAAAGAGGGAAATCTGAACGCCAGGTAGGAAGGGACTTGGTCAGAATCGTCTCTGTTCTCTGTGGCCCCCATTAAGTCATGCATGGCACAGTATAGGAAAGAAGAATGCAAGGGGAGTAACACTTTAAAGTACCTACTATGTGTTTTGAGTTATATGTACTTTTATTTAATTCAACAAACTATTTTAGAGATAGGAAAGTTGAGACTCCACATGCCTACACGACATGTTCCCAATGACACACATCTGTAAGTGATCAAGTTAGATCTGATTCCAAACCAAGATTTTTGTCATATGACAACTAAGAGTCAGAACTGCAGGGTGATACCTTGCAAATAGATGTGAGGCAGAGTTAGTTCCTCTTAAGTCCCTGGCACATGGTGGGCATTCAGCAGCTGGTGAGAGACTGGTGATCACCTCTGTAGTGACATGTCTCACAGCTGTATTGGGTGGCCTCTCAAACCAAAGACCTTCCCTTTCTATTTCACCCAAGAGAAATAGTTTCTCTTTTTTGGAAGCCCAGCTCTAGCTGGAGATTACTTTCCAGTATCCTCAACCTTCAGAGCATCTGCCTTTTGAAGCCCAGAGTTATCCTAAATGTAGATTTTGTCGTCATCACCAAGGAATAGAATAAAAGATGAGAGCACAGTTTCCCTTGATGGGTAAACATAGAATGTGACAGTAAGTGAAGCTGACTTAATGCTAAGCGAGAAGGTTGGGGCCTGAAGTCACCGGGCAGGTGTCTGAGTGAGCCGCGAGCTGGAGATAGCAATGCTGCCTCTGCCCTTCCCCACTCTGGACCCATTCCTGGAGCTGCACCCAGTGGCTGGGTCTGACCTCATCACGCAGTGTGGATGGCCCTCCATACATTGTCTCCACACCTCACAACCACCAGGGAAGAGAGACATTATTGTCTCCAAACTACAGACAAGGAAATTGAGCCTTGGAAAGGTCAAATAACTTGGGCAAGTATCTTAATTATAATTTTTTCATCTGTAAAAACTAGGGCAATAAAAGTATCTCATGGAGCTGTTGTGAAGGTTATATGAGATAATGTATTTAAACTTAGGTAAAAGTGTAAAAGTATCCAGCACATAATAGAATTAAAAAATGGGAACTGCCGTAATTGCTATGATTTTTCCCTGTAATAATCACATCGGCCCATCACAAGGGCACAGTGTGTTAGCAGGGCTTTTCAAGGTTATGTGGGCATATGCATCTCCTGGAGAGGTTAAAACAAATAGGTTCCTGCTTCCCTCCCCCAGAACCCACTTCATTAGGTCTGGGGTGTGGCCTGAGAATTTGCATTTCTAACAGGCTTGCAGGTAACACTGATGTGCAGGTCCACGGACTGCTCTCTGAGAAGCACTATGTCATAGTACCTACTTCTCCCTCTATTGCCTCACTGAAGACTCAAGCTCTTGCCAGCCCACTGGATAGGTAGGACATAGATTTCTAATGTCTGCGTAGAACTAACCTATTTGGTTAGAACTGTGTGTCCCATTCCTAAATAGGTGTCTAACTTGGTCCTCTAACCTGTCAGTCAGCTGTATATTCCTAGGTCAGAAACTCAGCTTTCCCAAGGCATGGTAGTTGCCTGACATTCCTACTGATATTCTTGCCATATCTCATAGAGATTAAAGGTGACACCACAGCTTGGACACAGACCTGGGCCTGTGGGCACAAAGTGCTCTTCCGTCTGTAGGGCACATTTGCAAGACCCCTGGGTTCAGCCATGGACTCGCAGGCAGTGGACAAAGAGGCCTTGGGACTCAGCTCTGTGAAGAGGGGATTTTTACACCTGCAAAAGGGAGAGTGAGCATCAGCACAGAGTGTGAGCTAAGTGCGGACAGTTGCCAAGCAAGAGGTTGCTGAAGCCCATGGGTTTGACAGTTGAATGTGAGGTTTAGGGAGAGAAAGTGGTGGGGCTACATGGTACCCATTACAAACAAGTTTGGCTCACCCTGTATTTGTTGAATGAATTAATCGATGGCCATTCCAGTTTCAATCACTCGGAGAAGTAGAGGGCCTCCAAAATTGGGAACTCGAAGGTGGGGCTTGGGCACAATAGGACACTCCTGCTTTTCCCAACCTCACTTCTTAAGTTTGAGACTTCACAGCATCTAAGTGACCCAAAGGATGATCCCTGGCACCTTGAATTAAAGTGAACCCTGGACCCAGGCTTGAGCTGAGGACACCTTCTTTGCCCTTCCAGTAATCCAGGTTCATAGCGTGTTCTGTGTTGTTCCTCAAAAACATTCCTAAGGCCTGATCTGAGCACTGCAGCCTGGTGCCCACTATATTGTTGGCATTGAGGGATGGTTGGGTGGGCACACGTGACCTGGAGCCTGGACAGTGAAGAGAGAGGCTCCTAAAGGCCATCGTGTGTTGGCAGCAGGGATTAACAAGAAGAGACCTAGAGGGGAAGTTGAGTCTTGAAGCCAGGTCAGAGTCTGGTGTGCCATCTACCTTCCAACCCTCAAGTGCAGATTCCCCCTTGTAGCAAAGTAACTCTCAGGAGGGTAGGGGTGGGGCCTGGGGGTAGGGATTCACCTTTGCTTTCCAGGCCGATGAGTATCCCAGTGCTTCAGAGTTACAAATGGAGGGCAGAGTCAGGAGGGGGGGCAGATCCTCATCAGACCTTCCTGAGCCCAGTGGGGCCTGGCAAGGATCCACAGCTGCAAATACACTCATATTTGCTGGGGAGCTGAGGCTGGTCCCACCGCTAGGGGCAATAGGTTCCAGATTCAGGAGCTCAGGTAGGGGGTGTGTTTGGGAGGGCTGCTGCTTTAGGTTACCATTCAAAAGTGCCTGGCCAAGGGCCAGGGGGCCTGAAATCCAGCCACATGGAGCTCCCCAAGCCATACATGTGTAAGGCTGCCACTGCCCCGAAGGTGTGCCTCCTTCTCATTAATACAGGGTAAACCATGGGAAAGCCTGGGTTTGGA